CCTGAGAGCAGCTCTATGAACAAAATAAACCTCAGCAGCCTTACTCTGAATGATCAACACCAGTGGTTGGAATCCATAGACCATGTAGAAAGATGACAGACCAGTAGTAGAGGAGGGTAGAGAGTTGATTGCATGTTCCATCCAGGGGAGGTTGAGTGACCACTTGATTGGGTCCTCCTCACACAAGATCCATAGTTTGGTCTCAGCTTCCCGATTTGCCCTCCCACTCTGTCCATCAGTCTGTGGGTGAACCATTGAGAGTCGGACTGAGATGCCTAAGAGGTTATAGAACTCCCTCCAAAAATGGGAAATGAACTGGGGACCCTGGTCTGAGACAATGTCTGCCGGTAGGCCATTGAGGCAAAACACCTCACAGACCTCACCCATTTCCTTGATGGATGGAAGTTCCTTAAGGGTAACTAGGTAAACCATCTTTGAAAAACAGTCAACAATGGTAAAGTATTACCAGAATATATGGGAAGTCCAGTAATGAAATCCATAGCAATGTGGGACCAGGGCCATGAAGGGATGTGAAGTAGTTATAAGAGGCTAGCAGGGAGTCATTGTGATGTTTTGGCTTGGGCACACTGGCAGCAAGAGGAGACAAACTCCTTGACATATTTAACCAAGTCCTTCCAACAGAACTGGGCCCTTATTACTGTCGGAGTCTTATTTATGCCTAGGTGACAAAAAAGTCAAGTTTGGTGACAGAGTTCTAATACCTTTTTGATGTGGGAGTTTAGGACAAACACACAGTCTTTAAGGCAATCAAAGGGTGGTTGTTGGACCAGATGGGACTGTCTGATTTTGTCCTCCAACTGAGTGACCGATAGCTACACCATCTCAGACAGGATGGATTCCAACTCCTTGCCGATCTGATCCTCGATTACCCTGTATTGAACCCTAGAAAGGGTGTCTGGTTTGGCGTTCTTAGCCCCAGGTCTGTAAGAAAGTATGAAATCAAAGTGACAGAAAAACAGGGCCCACCTTGCTTGCTTGGGGTTCAGTCTTTTAGCCATGTTCAAGTACTCCAAATTCTTATGATCAGTCCAGACTTTAAAAGGTTCCTTGGACCCCTCCAGCCAGTGCCTCCATTCCTCAAGAGCCAGCTTGACAGCTAACAGTTCTCGTTCCCCAACATCACATTTCCTTCAGTGGCAAACAGGCTCCTGAAGAAGAAGGCACATGGGTGAATTTTACCATCATCAAAATGTTGGCTGAGGACAGCACATACCTCAATGTTGGAAGTGTCTATCTCCACAATGAATTGTTAGTTTGGATCTGGGGATCGAAGGACAAGAGCAGAGGAAAACATATTTTTGATTTTTGCAAAGGAGGCCTTTGCTTGGTTGTCCCACATGAACCTGATCTTGACAGATGTGAGAGTGTGCAACAGGGCAGAAATCAAACTATAATTTTTTTATAAATCTGTTGTAAACGTTTTCAAAACTTAAAAACCTCTACAATTGCTTCCTGTCCTTAGGGGTAGGCCAGTCTAGGACTGCAAAGACCTTTGCAATGTCCATGGAAACCTGGTTAGGTGAAATGTTAAAGCCCAGAAATTAGGTGGTGATCTAGTGGAATTCACATGTCTCTGCCTTAACAAACAGATTGTTCTGCCAAAGTCTCAACAAGACAGATCTTACATGTTTCTTGCGGGTCAATAAGGCCTTAGAAAATATGAGGATGTTGTCCATATAAACGCAAACAAACTGATTAACCATATCTCTAAGAACATCATTAACAAGTGTTTGGAAAACAGCAGGGGCATTAGATAGACCAAAAGGCATTATTAGATATTGATAATGTCCCGTGGGTGAATTAAAAGCTGTTTTCTGCTCATCCCCCTCTCTGATGTGGACCAAATTTATCAACCTTTATTTACACTGATAAATCACATTGAGCCTTGACGACTCATTTACAAGTGAGACCTGTTTAGACAGACAAAAAGTGATGAAACTGACACATGTATAGGATATGGAGGTCAAAAAATCATATCAAACTCTCACTCCTTGGTCGAGGAGAGATAGTCTGAGATTGAAAAAAAAAAACACCCCACACATAGGCGCATAGTGACACAGACTTTCTGCAGTGGAGAGGAGACTAAAAGAGCGATGAGTGTGTCCAAAGACACTCCAGATGCACTGTAGGAGTTCTAATAAAAATGGTATAACCTATCAGTTCCCTCTGGTGAGATACGTAAACACTCTCAAGGGGTGCCGAGGTCGACTTAGGATAGTGCCAGAGAGAATCCAAGAGTCCTGAAATTATGACACAATGTTTATTCAGCTGGGTCCCTCTTATACTGTAGGTCTGCAGACTTCCTCGGTGGAAGGGGAGTGGAGGGGTCAGAGCATCAAATTTAAAGGGCCTCCAGGTGAATTAAGAAAAGGTGGCCTGTCAAGGCTAGCCAAGGAGCCTAATTCAGATAAAACAACATTTGTTTTGGGAATAGGCAGAACTTTACTGATTTATGTCCACCTTGAGTTTTTTCTGGTCCTCATGAATCTCAAACGTCCAAATTAAGTGAACACACCGCTGGTCCATGCCTAGTACATGAGAGTATTCCCCGAGATCTGATCCATCCTGCCAACGAATCCTAGGGGCTGCAAGTGGCCTGTGGTTCTCACAAATCACATCCAATTTGCGGTTTAGTTCGCAAAGCAATTGAGTCTGTGTACTTGAAGTATGGCACAAACCATCACATAAGGCAGGCAGCCTGACCAGGGCCAAATTTTCTGCCAACAACTTCCTTGTTTTTTGATAAACTAGGAACCAGCCGATTCCAAAAAGCAGGAAAACTGTTACCATAAATATCCTGATGCATGCTCAATAATCCATGTAGAAAAATCCAAAAAATGATTTTTTTTGGATGTTACCATAAATCCAATTATATATGCATCTTCAACATCCTTAATGGACAGCAGAGATAGACAGATCACCTTCCAATCACCCCAGGAATCAATGACATATCCAGTTGCGTGTGTGCCATCAGAGCAAGTCGGCTCGCCTGAAGCTTGTCTTTTCGTCAATGAAATTTTATCAATTACAATAAGAGACCAGCTGACAAGATCCATAACAAAAATTATGGTTCATAAGATATGTAGAGAGAGGCTCTGAATCAGTTTCACAGACAGGACAGAAGAAAAGCAAAGTGGAGGAGAGAGATGAGGGGAAAAGTGTTCACCCTTGAAAAGAGCAAGTGGTGAAGTGGCAGGCATTCATTAAGTCCAGCTTTGTGAAGACAGTTGATCCCTGGATGAGGTCAAAAGCAGATGTCATGAGTCCAAATGTTATTTGCTTTTAATTGTAGTTTTATTTAACCCTTGGTTATCAATGCAGGGCCTTAATAACCAATCTTTCTTGCCCACACAAATGAAACCCGGCCCAGCTGGGGATGCAAAAGGCCTTATTATGCCAACTTAAAGTGACTCATTAATAGGGTTTTGTATGGCCCAATTCTCAGGACCAGACAATGAGTATGAACTTTCTTTTTGGCAGTGGAACCAGGGCTTAAATCAATAAGGCAATCATATGGTCTGTGAGGAGGTAGGGATGTGGCCTTTAGCTTATTAAACATCTCCTTGAGGTCATGGTAGTCGGTGGAGACCTTAGAAAGGTCTGGATAAGTTTCCTCAATCTTATCCAGGCTTAGGATGAGAAAAAAAACAGCTTTGAACAGACATGATGATAGACATCCTTCAGACCACCCCACAATGTCTTTACCCCTCCAGTCTATGCGGGGATTGTGCTTGAATAACAAGTGGTTATCAAAATACCTGGGAGCTGGGGGGAACTTATGACAAGAAACTTTATTTTCTCGTGATGGTTACCTTCAAGGGATAACATGATGGGTTCAGTCCTTTTATTGATCTGATATAATATGTGCCCATCTAAAGCTAGTAGCTGGTGACCCTTGCCTGAGGGAACCATTTTAATGCTCAATGACTTAGCAAGATCACAGTCTATAAACTCAATACCTGCACCAGAGTCTATGAACACAGAAAAGGAGTACTTACTTCCTTGAACCTGGATCTTTGCCAGAAGAGATTAGGATATTTTGGGGTCTGTTATGTGACTCAGCAGGACTCTCCTCTCTCCTATTGAGTCTGGTCTTTTTGTGAACACTTGGATACTATGTACCCCGTGTTCCCACAATAGAAGCATAGACTTAGTTTTCTACATTTTTCTTTTCCTCCTGGGTGAGACGGCTCCTGCACAGCTGCATGGATTCCTCAGTCTGTTGAGGTGTAAACACAGTGGTGGGTGAAACTTTGGGTTTGGTGAGGTTAAACTCACCCCAGGAGTAAGAAGGTCTTTCCAATCTACTTCCCCTCTCACACCACTTCTCCATGAGAAGTAGATCAATGCATGTAGCCAGATCCTCCAACGCTTTAAGAGAGTCAGGGTAATCTTTTGTGGCTAGCTCATCCTTGATGCTTTCATTGAGATCTTGAAAAAAGACATCAGCCAGAGCTTCCTCATTCCAACAGCTGTTGGCAGCAACAGTGTGGAAATCAATTATAGGTTCAGTGACACTCCTGCTCCCCTGTTTCAGTGAAAACAACATCCTAGCAGCTTCTCTCAGGCAAGATTTTGAGAAGCCTTTAAATGAATAACAAAAATGGGTGTCTCTTAGCCACTCTGAGGTACCCCAACACTTTGCTTTACCTGACAACAGGGACATGACATAAACCTCCTTGGACCATTCAGGGGGAACTGAGGAGGGAGGCAGCTATAAAGGGATCTCACACTGAGTCTGGAACAGTCGGCACTGATCAGGTTCCCCTTTGAACACTTCAGGACCTGGACATCATGGGTCAACTCCCAGCTGGTAAAAAAAAAATAAAAAATCAGATGATATATGATGCTTAGCTGTCTGTGGTCACTGTAATCCTTCCCGAATGAGATTATCTTGGTGTGAAAACAGTAAATCTGGGTGGGAAGGGCACTCCCATCCATTGTGTGTCTAAGACAAGACACACTGAACCCCTTCCATTAATCTCTGCACACAGACACACCCTGGCAAGCAGCATATTAGCTCTCCACCTCCTGAACTTCAGCATCAGTGCATTCAAGGCAAGTGAAGGATCGGCACTTCTACATCAACACCTTAAGGGAAAAAATGGACCATAAAGCAAAAGTTACTCTTTTGCTCTTGCTGCTTTCAGGCCTCTGCAATGCTCACACTGGAGATCACTCCAAGAAGGAGGATATTTCTACAACGATCATCAGAATGAACAATGGTGAGCATTTAGTAACGATTCAGAAAACCAAAAGAAAAGAAGCAATGCATTCTCATATTATAGAGCTGGGTTTATAGCAAGAAAATCATTTTTATTCTAACAGGAACTTTGGTTCAACAACTGATTGAAGGAGATATGCTTATTCCAAAAACCAGGAATGCTTTGAAGTGCCACAATAAACAATACAGCTGCTTCTGGCCAAAGTCTACCAACGGGAATGTAGAAGTCCCTTTTGTTATAAGTCCCAAGTATGGTAGGTTTAATTTTATTTTTGAAATAAGTCATACTGTTAATTTGGTCATTGTATATTAGCAAGTTTCTTTCACCTAATGAAGTATTTTATTTCTGAATGTAGATAAAGATGAGAGGAAAACAATTCTGACTGCCATGAAAGGCTTTGAACCAAAGACCTGCATTCGATTTGTTCCTCGTACAAATCAAAGGGCACACCTAAGCCTGGAACCAAAATTTGGGTAAGCAAATGAGGAAAAACGACACCTAAATTACATTTGTTAAAAAAATGTAACTAAACTAGTACAATGTGCATAAGAAAGCATAGTTTTTTATTTTATTTTTTGTTACCTTTTCCTTTTAGCCATCCTATTTGTAAAAAAAAAAAAAAAAAAAAAAAACAGTATTATGACTTTTTATAATTGTTTATTGTTGTTGCTGTTGTCCATTGTTGTCATCTTTCTTTGTTGAAATCAGGTCTCTCTTGTAAATGTGTCCTCGAGGCTCAATGGGATTTACCTGTCTAAATAAAGGTTGATTGATTGATAGTAAAATTATAAGCATTTAAAACCATTTTTAAATGATAGTTGTTAGCTACATTGTTTTTCTTTTTAAGTTGATTAGAGCTAAATATTTTTGCAACTTTGTCATTTGTCAAACATATCAGCTAAGGGGAAATAGAATCAAAACTTAATAATTGGGTCAAAATTTATTTTGATTTTCCTAAATACTTTGTATGATTGTTCAAAGAGCTATAGGTAAGATACTGATTGCTTGTAAATTTTCAACAAACTTCCACATTCAGATTTCTTAAGTATTACAAATGCTAGTAGAAAATGGATAACTGCAATTAGCTTTTCATTTTATTGTTTTTGGTTTTACAAATAAAACTATCACATTACTTCTTGTTGGATTAAGAAAATATGTTTTCTTTCACTTGACCCATCTCCAGTCTTGTGCAATGTGGGTAGTAGATCAATAATGTTTTTGAAACTTGTCAGCTGATCATAAAGCCACTTAGTAATAATGTACACATTGTCTGCTATTCTAGACACTGCTCTTCTAGTCAAATGTCAATTTTCACATTTATCTTTGTCTCTTGACTTTCTTAGTTGCTTTTCTTCTCTGGGACGTGTCGGAGAGAAGCAACTCGTGTCTCTGCAAAGATATGGCTGTGTGGAAAAAGGGATCGTCCAACATGAGCTGCTGCATGCTCTGGGTTTCTACCACGAACACAACCGCAGCGACCGTGACAAGTATGTCAAGATCCACTGGGACAATATGCCAGATAGTAAGAATCACACAGCATCAATCAATCATTCAGACAAGTTAATACAGTATAATAGTCTGATACTGAATGTTTTCTTTATTACCAGTTGTTAAGGTCAACTTCAAAAAAATGGATACAGACAATCTCAACACCAAATATGACTACTCATCTGTGATGCAATATGGAAAGTAAGAGTTACTGCCTTCAAAACAGACATTAAACATTAAATACAATGATTTATTTATTTTCCTCTGATTTATTTTGCCTCTAAATTTCTAGAACTGCCTTTGGAACGGATGGAAAAGAAACCATAACTCCCATCCCCGATCCCAATGTTCCCATCGGCCAAAGAGTGGGCATGTCTGATATTGACATTCTCAGAGTCAACAGGCTGTACAACTGTTCAAAATACAAGCAATAGAAGATCATGTTTGAAATCTGATTCATACTAAAGTGACAGCATCTTAGTAAAGTACTGGAACATCCTGGATCTTTCTAGAGTATTTTGTTATTTATGATACATTTTAATATATTTTGTGTTATAGTAAAAAAAAAAAAAAGAACAATGATCCACAAATTGACTTGTTACAGGAAATTCTTGCCTCTTGAGGCAGCCTCAGAAATACTAAGAATTTGAGGTGTGAACTACATTTTACAATTAAGAAGGGGAAGAGCAGAATGTGGACTGCATGTCAGAATGAACATTTACCCCACCATGTTCAAGGCCCAACTTGCTCACTCCATCTCAGATGCACGACCTGGTCAGTTTATAGTCTGATAGAATAACTTCACTGTTTCTAAGGGGGTTGTCTGACTGGGCTGCAACTGTTGAAGACTAGTTTTTTTGTTTGTTTGTTTGTTTTTCCTTTCTTTCAGTTTCTCCCTTCTTCAGGGGTCCCCACAGTGAACTAACTCGCATGAAGACTTGTCAATTATATTTACTGCAGATGCACTTCCTGACGCAACCACAGACCACCGAGCTACCACAGCCCTCTGTGTGGAGCAGAGAGCTAATGTCCAGGGCACCCGGGGGAGCAGATGGTGGGGGTTAAGGGCCTTGCTCAAGGGCCCAGAGTGGGGCAAATGAGGTTGGAGGCAGGTGTGGGCGCTTCACCTGTCCCACCTCCATTTTTTATGTTGTTGGTACCAGGAGTTGAACTGGCGAGCTTCCGATCACAGGCCCACCTTCTCTAACCTCTGCACCACCACTCCCTGTTGAAGACTAGTTGGTGGCACAAAATTGCAAGAAAAGCATCAGTTCTCGATTGCCTTTTAAATGCTGAATGTTTGCAATCGTAAGACTGCATGACTAATTTAAACAGTATATTTTTTTTTTATTAAGGCCCATAACTAACTTGATTAGATTTATTTACAGGGTTTTTTTTTTCCTCATTTCCCTTTGCTAAAAATATTACAGTAAAAAAAAAAACTTGTTGGATAAAAATACGATTGCATTATCTTATTTACTTAAAGGAGCCACACACGACGACAGGAGAAGATTTTTACCCACTTTTACAGATAGTCACAAGAGTTTTACGCAGATGTTTTGTTGGAGCCTGGTCACGAGGATCTGCAACATGCTGCATTGTCCGCTCGCTTTTTATACCCTTATCAGATACTGCACTATACAAAATAGCTTTGTTCCTACTGCTGTTATTGAAATGAACAAACTGAATTGACATCAATGTTCTCAGTGGTTTAACAGATGTTCATCTAATGATACAATTAATATTTCAATACATTATTTATACTACTGAAATGTTAAAGTTTTTACTCTCCTTTTCTGTGTCCTACTTTGTTTTGGATATGACCTGTGGAGCCTTGAGCACCTGTGAATGGTTTATTTGAGGTGTTCTTACTTTTTACAGTGTGTGTGTGTGTGTGTGTATGGGTGTATGCTTTGTACCACTGCAAACCTAATCTACCCTTGGGTATAAATAAAGTAACCTAACCTAACAGGTCACGACAACCTCGGCTTCCCAGCGTACGGACTGGGAAGCAACCTTGGAGTTACCAGCTGTGCATGCAGTATCAAATCAGCTCTTCATTCAGCTCACTCTGCTAACTCAAACACACGGTTCATGGGCAGTGAACATTTTCAGTCAAATATCCAAAAGCCTTGACCAACATTCCCCTGACAAAAATATTGGCAAAACAGAAAGGCATGAATTTAATTAGACAGAAATAGAACTGTAGAGAAAGATTCTGTATGCAGTTTGGCTCCTTGAAATTAAGTTTGGGATTTACGCCCTTGTGAGGACTACCTTGTTCCGTCAGAGCGAACCGGTGCTGCAGAATACTTACTGAGCCAAACTTTGCAGAACCGAGCCTCTGCAGAGAAGCACAGATGTGGTTGGACTTGATATAAACCTCCGTTCTTCTACTCCCTAACCCTAAAGAGACGTTTTCCCCCTATTTGGCCACACTCTTGTAATTTGTGCAGATTTTTTTTTCTTAGTTTTTTTTTTTTTCTACTTTCAACCCAGTGAACCAGATGAAAGATGGGTGTTGAAAGAAGATGTCGAGGAGGGGGAACAAATTCCTATTAGGCGAATTTTCCTCTTTCCATGATGTATGAGTGCACCAACAGTCATGACAGCGCTGCATGTTTTTTCTCTTGTGCTTCGGCTTAAATGCAGCTAAAGAAGACGTGGCATTAAGCACCGCTCCGAGAAAACCAGCAAGTTGGAATACTTCAGATGGATCGAGGACTTGAATGTTTCATAGAGTAGTTTCAGTTCATATCAATCGTTCTGCCAATGAAATATTTAAAATCTACTTGTTTACTGAAATATTTAACACTCAGGCTCTATTAATGCTCCAAGAATCTGCGGGAGATTTTCAGCCCATCTATAAATCAAAGTATTTCTGCAAAGCTTGATTACAGATCATACTGCGATCCCAAGCCCTGAAATAATAATAATAATTTTAAAAAACAGGCCACCACTGGAACACGCTGTGGTTAGATAAAATAAAAAGAAAAATCATAGAACGTTCACTGAAATTAGACTTTGATGCGGATAATCTTTCTGAACTTTGAGGATGAGCACAAAATTAAAGCACACAGACTGAATATTTTATGTTTCTTGTGACAATCTTTCCCCTTGGTGCTTGTTTCTTTAACTCACAGGAATTTAGTAAAATATTGATGCACTGTGTGACACAGGAACCTGATCTTTACGACCAAACATTTAATTTTGACCATATTCATAAACATTATCAGGAATATTCAGTGAGTCTTTCACATATGTTTTTGGAACACATGTTAAAAGGGGCAGTGGGTGTAAAACCAGCAGGGTCTCGTGCAGGATGTCTGTTCTAATGAGAGCAGGCTGAGCAGAGCCAAATGCAGTCTGTTGTGTGATGTCACCAGTAATAAACTGGCAGGCCATAACCGTTGGCTAGCTGAATGGCTTTCACCACCATGTCGTTAACTCAGATCAGTCTACCTGCCTCTCTTCAAACCAAACACACTGCAGCTCTCAGTTCACTGCGTGAGCTGCCTCATGCAGAACCATAATAATAATAATAATAATAAACATTTAAAGATTTGCTCTGATTTGTGCTGCCATGCTAGCTGGATCGACCTTCAGGATGTTTCAGTTTCATTTTCCCTGAACAAGTCATTTTACTTGACCTACTGAAAAAAAATTGGAAACCTTGTTTTAGACTTTACATGGATATTTTACACTTCTAAAATGTTTTGTAATCGCTTTATTTAAATTACTTATGGTTTAATTCAGCAAATATATTGTTTTATGTTCTAACTGTCCTTATGCATTATGCATATTTTTGTACTAAGCCCATAATTTGGATAAAATGGAAAAAAAGTTACCAGTTTAGACTAATACACCCTATTTTTTGCATCTTTTTCCGTTTAACCTTTGTCTGATCATAGGGTTGGTGCCTGTTGGGTTGTGTGATATTCAATATCAACAGAAATAAAGAGATTTAAACTAAATTATTAGATCTGCAATATAGATAAAGTATTCAAAAAGACAATTGTTTTGTTATGTTTCACAATCTGCTGTACATATGTTCAATGCTTAAAAGACTCCAGACTGGAAACATGTAAAGTTGACAACATTCTGCTGGTCTGCTAGTGGGTAAAGAGACCCCCCACCCCCACCCCCCAACTATTTCCATTCAAATTCAACAAGAAACAACATGACAAAAGGACATTTTGTTAAGTACAATAAACAGCTTTATTTAGATATGTGCCTTTCGTTTAATCAGATTATGTGTTTCAGTACCCTAACGTGTACATTTTAAGATTTATTGTATAATCTTTATAGTGTTACTTAATGGTTCTGGTCAGAAAGTACTGCCTTTATTGTTTAAGGCTTTGGAGTTTAAATTTAAATTGTACAACTTCTGAAAACACCCTGCAGGAAAGGAGACATATTTAAGAAATCAGTTTAACATAAAGAGAAAGATTGATGTCTTCTTCTGCAAAATAAATAAATAAAACTAAATAAAAAATGCTTAATTGTAAGTTGAATGTCAGTATTCAAATCATATTTTCAGACACAACCTGCTATTAGATATCTTTCAGGTTCAACTCCTCTTGAAATTATAATTTCATAACAGGTTATAAATTTTGGAAACAACCAAAATTAAAACAATAGAAAGTAGCTGAGGATGTTTACGTGGAGTGGAGCTGAGCAAATCATTGCATTTGCAATAATATTGCGATATGATCAAATTAGATTTTCTAATCGCAAAGGGTGAAATTTGACTGGTCATGTGACTTGCGGGTGAGCGAGCACGAGAAGTCAACACTGCTCTTTAACCGGTTGCAGAATGATGTCAGGCTCAACAGAAGCTGATACATCTGTAAGTTTGGTACCAAAGAGCGGCAGCACGTCCGTTGTTTGGAATTATTTTGGATATAAAAAAGAAGACGCTGCTCAACGACATGCATTGTGCAGAACTTGCATTGCTGCTGTTGCTACCTCTCAAGGTAACACAAATCTTTACCGACACTTAAAAAAATGCCACAAAGCCATTTACGATAGTCGCATGGCTAGAGTGCTTCAGCTTCAAGTAAGCAAAGTAGCAGCCGACAGGGATCACTGACCGAACTGTTCGAAGTTATTACTCTGTATGAACTTAATTTGAAACTTCACGTGGAAATAACTCCAGCAATAACGGAGTTCAAAGCGAAAGACATGATGCCCATTAATACAGTGACCAAGCCTGTGTTTACCGCTTTGGTCAACACGGTGGATAAGTGGTACAGAATGCCCTGGCGCACACGCTTTAGCTAAGTTGCTATTCCGGAGCATTACAAAACATGCAGAAACAGAGTTGCAGCAGAGCTGAAAACAGTGGAGTTTTTTTGCAACTGAAACAGATTTATTGGTTGCGTTCATTGAAAAATACGCGAGAAGAAGAAAAAGAAAAGTAATCACAAATTAAATTGCAATTTTGAGGTAAAAAAAAAAAAAAATTGCAATTAGAATATTTTCCAAAATCGTTCAGCCCT